CACACACACACACACACACACACACACACACACACACAATCTCTCTCTCACTCTCACACACACACACACAAACAGAGGGGCAAGACAGAATTAGCAGTGGGACATGAGGGAGAGTCTGTGACATACCTTCCCGGTCTCTAGATAGTCCTTGATAAGCATCCCTGTGCGCCGTCCATTCAGTGTATTCAATGGCGTTGATCGCATCTCTCTCGAGGAGGCAAATAAGTGCACAGCCGACAAAGCTGAAGCCGTCAAAATCTGATAACCCAAGCACACTGATTACTTTTTGCAACATCCAAAATCCAAAAGTGTTCCCAATTGGTAAAAAAATACAACACTCCACCAATCTATAAACTCAGACACACAACACGCATTATAATCCGCATTTGGCAGCAATGCAGCGTGTGTCTGAGTTTACAGATTGGTGGACTCTTACAGAGATGCAGAAATCATGGGTTAGTTACATCAGCGCGCGCTGAGCAGGTGGCAATTATAATCCGCAGTTGGCAGCAATTCAGCGAATAGTTTTGCATTGAACAAAGGGAAAATGGAAGCATGAAAAGAAATGGGTGGGAATTGAGTTTGCCATGGGAGTGGAAGCCATACTTGCAAGCACACGTTGCGCTCCAGATCGCAGATGGCCGGAAATCGAGGGTTCGTCCTTCTTTTTGTCGTTCATTCGTCGTCCTTGTCTCCATCTCTCCTCCTCTTATCGAAGTCGCAGAGAAAGCAGTCACTGGAAATTGAGGGTTCTTTTGTTTTTTTTTGTGGTTCATGTGCCATCGTTGTCTCCTCCTCCTCCTCCTCCAAGCTCGTCACCTCCATCCCTCTTCCATCTCTCTCCTCCTTTTCCTCTTATCGAAGCCGCAGAGAAAGCAACCGCTGGAAATCGAGGGTTCTTTTTTTTTTTTTTGGGCCGTTCATTCATCATCCTCGTCTCCTCCTCCTCCTCCTCCTCCACCCTCGTCGCCTGCATCCCTCCTCCATCTCTCCTCCTCCTCTTCCTCCTCCTCCTCCTCCTCCCCGTCCTCCTGCTGTTACCAAAGTCACAGAGAAAGCAGGAGGACGCTGGAAATCAAGGTTTCTTTTTTTCTTTTTGTTGTTCCTGGATCGTCCTTGTCTCCTCTTCCTACTCCTCCATGCCTCCTCCTCGCCTCCATCCCTACTTCATCTCTTCTCCTCCTCCTCCGCCTCCTCCTCCTCCTCCTCCTCCCCCTCTTATCAAAGTTGCAAAGACAGCAGCCGCTGGAAATTGAGCGTTCTTTTCGTCATTCATTCATTGTCCTTGTCTCCTCCTCCTCCTCCTCTTCTTGTCGAAGTCGCAGAGAAAGCAGTCGCTGAAAATCGAGGATTCTTTGTCTGTCATTCGCCGTCCTTGTCTCCTCCTCCTTGTCCTTCACCCTTGTTGCTTCCATCCCTCCTCCTCGCCTCTATCCCTCATCCATCTATTCTCCTGCTCCTCCTCCTCCATGTCTCTTCCTCCCCTCCATCCCTCCTCCATCTCTCCTCCTCCTCTCGAAGTCGCAGAGTCATTGGACATCGGAGTTCTTTTTTTTTTTGTCGGTCATTCATCGTCCTCGTCTCCTCCTCCTCCTCCTCAACCCTCGTCTCCTCCATCCCCCCTCCATCTCTCCTCCTCCTTGTCATCCTCCGCCTCTTACCAAAGTTGCAGAGAAAGCACCTCTCCTCTTCCACTCCATCTGTCCTCTGTCTCCTCCATCCCTCGTCCATCTCTCCTCTTCCTCCTCCTTTGTCATATTCTTATTGACGTCGGAGAGAAAGCAATTGATGTAAATGATAGTAAATCAGAATTCTTCAAAACTTAGAAAGGTAGAAAACTACTGCAACTGTCCTTCGGGACATCCGTTAAAATTGGAACGATACAGAGAAGATTAGCATGGAAAAAAAAAAAAAAAAAAACCCTACTGCAACCTTTTGTTCAAGCTGCTCAGGGCAGGTCCAGCACAAGGGCCGTTGTACTGGTGCCAACTGACAAATTTCCCCTACCGCTTCCCGCCACCTCCAGGCTCGGCAAAACTCGATGCGCTAAGGGGGGCTCGTGATTCCGTAAAACAGGCCCGGCTGTACTGATGGCTTAAGGAAAAAAGGCATCTGGTTCAGGAACCATGGATTAAATCTTTAAACTGATTCAGAGATGACAGGCATACAAACACATTACACACTAGGGGAAAAAAAAAAAAAAAAAAAAAAAAAAAAAAAAAAAAAAAAAAAACACATTACCTTGCCATGCATAGTGTTACAGACTGTGGATGCCAAGCGAATGCCAATGGCCATTCCCAAAAGGTTTGAGAACACTCCAATTGCCTCTCCTTTTGTGTGCAAATCCCCTAGATTCCCCTCCCTTGCAAATGCATTATAGATAGGTAACCGAGTTGATCGCGCCGCAACAAGTGACACACCCTGTATGGGAGCAAAGAGAGCAAATAGAAGGGCAAACCACAGTACTTTGCTCATTAGACAATCAAGGAACACTACAGGCTTCCTTTGGAAGTGAAAAAAGAAGGGAAAAAAAAAAA